ATGTATGAATGTGCCAGATTTTTTATAATAAACAAACAGCATAGAGTCCATTTGTTATAAAATACACTATACACTCGTTAAGGCTACAATCATGCAGTCTAGATCTATCTATCTGACTATGTAGCTAATATTTTGGACACGCATTTATAGCCGACAAAGACCTAGAACGTCTTACACACACATAATATTATTGTGCAATAATACTCAATCAAAACAAGCTCCAATTCACAACAATTGAACTACACAACGTATGATTCGTACACAGTTACTTAAACAAACCTGAGATAAACTATGGTTTCCAAAATAACTAAATTTAGCTTTCGCACTATAGTTAATACATTCGCTGTCATGTGCCCTACCAAAGGGTCACAGCCAACTTTTAATTATGAGCCTCTTGACACACCAGTGAGACATGTGTTACAAGTGCCTTCACTGAGGTAATTAAACATAGTATAGTTACCATATAAATATTAGACATCTGGGTTAAGTAAAAAACAAAAGTATGGTTGGCACTAGGGTAGGAATTATTAATACTACTGGTGGCATGAAACATGTTAAAAGGGAAACAGTCGTGTATATCTAACTGTTTCATTGTTATGTCGCTTGGCAACAAAACTATGACTCATATTGTTGTTAGCCTATGTACTATAAGTGGACTTTTGTGAAATATTTAGTAACCAACTTTCAATATGAAACATTAGTAACCAGAGGCCACTCTAAAACATTAATCAACCAAAGCCTAATGTGAAATCGTATCCAACATTTATTCTATTGCATTTAGTGACCAAGATTCACCATGAAATATTTAGTGATGAATTGCTGTTCGAGCAGCTGTGTACTGCAGCAATGAAATACTTCCAAACGTTGTATGATACTTATGTCTTACTTTTAAAATTGTTGCTGTAATATATTCTGCTATCGTGTAATAAACTTGTATTTGGTTGTTTATCCTAGTTAAGGCTTCGTGATTTACCAAATTTGAATATTTCTCCGCTAAACTTCATTTTTTCAGTTTCCCAGTTTGGTTGTACAGAGCATCTATGCAAGCTGAATGTTAATATTACTTCCTAAAACTTCCAATGACATCAATGTCACTAGCATTACGAAGCAAGTCACTATAACTTCTCTAATTTCGTCATCTGAAAAGATATGGCTACAGAAAAGCCACGAAACTGTTCCACTATCATGAACTGCACTGAACAATCTAAACTCTTAATAAAAGATTGCAATGCTTATTCGATCCTAATCATCCTAGAAAATACTTTTCTGTAACTGATGTGTAGTAGTGCCGGGTTGTAGACCATAAATTTCATTAACCAAAAGACCGATACTTCATCTCATAAAACTAGTACTACAGGTGGTAAATACTATTTGGCTCACTACCATGTCATTAGGATTCATATGTATGCATCACTAGTTCTTGGAATGCAGTTTCACGTATGCATGTTTTGAAGCGCCTTTGTTCATTTGAAGACATTGGAGTAGAAGTAGAAAAAGGCAGTTCTCATTGATCTCAATGAAAATGGCGAGCTCTAATGTGTCATTCGCCATATTGTAGTAATATTTTGATTTGATTTTCTGTGATGGTTAAGTGTAAATATCAGTAAATATCATCTAATATGACTTCGGATAAATAGGACTATATCACCCTTATTTCCTTTTGGTTCTCTTAATGTTAGTAATAGAACATTGGAGTGATCATAAGGTTTACATTTAACGACTTAAACTGATTATCGAAACCCGGATTCTAGCGTTGTAAGTCCACAAACATACAGCTGTGCCACTGAGGGGCACTTCAGTATGTGTGATGCGATTAGAGTAGCTCAAGAGCTGGTTGTAGGTGCTGTTGAATAACTGCCTTTCACCTACCCGAGCACTTTAAAATTAAAAGCAGATTACAATTGTATTAATTTTTTGTTAATATCCTAAACAAAGAAACAAACTTGCCGGTACATTGCTGGCTAGCTACCCTATGATAAACTTTGCAGACAGAGTTCAAATTTATGAGATTTTTTTTAAACTTCAGGTTTTGGGGTTTTTTTCAAAAATACAGAACAGTTTCGGCCAGGTTTTATACAACTAATTCATTACAGCTGTTTATTTGAGTCCATAAAGATCCATTGAGAAAGGATGGGCGAGGCTTCTCTCCTTCGCGAAATAGTTAATGTTCTGGACAGTGAATCCATGATTTTTCAATATTTTTAATAAAATTATGAATTACTCCACGTTTGTTTCGTTATTTAACTATTCCCTTGAAGTAAATAGTATTCGTTTTGATATATATATATATATATATATATACATACTGGTTCAGTAAACACTAATTTTCAGATGTCCTTAGCAAACTCAAATTATTTCTTTCAGTAAGTCCCCAAGTGGTTCGGCGATAAGTCTGAGGGCTCACCGCTAAAATCCAGATTTCGATACTCGTGGTGGTCACAACATAGATAGCTTTTGGGTAGCTTTACTCTTACAAACAAACATATAAAAATATAATAAATACTAATTTATGATTAGAAATGCTAATATTTGACACATCGGTTTTATTGGGCATTCTGTTTTGTGTACCTTAGGCAATTCATTAAAACTTTGATAATTTTGGTTTGGAAGTTAGTCAGCTTCTACAGCTGTCTGTACCTTTTTTCTATACTGGAAACATTCTTACGTTTTTCGACGCTATTAACAAAATTAATCATGATATCATAATAACCTTCATGTATTTTCTTATGTTTGGTTCAGTGTTTTTGCGCAAGGTTACAATAGCTACCTGCGCGTAGCATTGCGTAATTTTGAAATGTAAGAAGACAACTGAATTATACATCGCCAACTCTTAAGCTGACCAAATAGTGGATTCGACCACCACTGTTATATTATTGTGCACCCATGGTCCTAAGTACGAAAGGTTTTATTGTTGCAGATTCACAGTCCGACACGCTAATCACAAAGTATCTTCCATCCCCTATATTCTGAATGATAAGAAAGTTACATTTTATGACACTGTATATATATATATATATATATATATAT